ATAAACCAAAGATATTTAATGACTTGTCTGCCATCTCACAAGGCTAGAAGACACAATTTGGGGCTTTTAAAATCTATTTTAATTTCACACTAGACATTCTTGATTTGAAATGAGTGACGGGAGCTAGATAACAAATGATAAGCCAAGACTGTCACCAATTCACACATTATTAGCCAGCACCACTGATCTGCTCCATTGGTCTGTAGTATGTATTAATCGAAATTCAGACATGCAAGGAAATCTGGGTATTGATAAGAATTTCTGTCACACTAGATGTTTTTTTACACAAACTTTCCTTCTATAAAGTATCGTTCTTTCCTTTTCTTCTTTTCCACATTTTATTTACTTCCAGGTAAGTAAACCTTGCCTCTAAAGAGACTTGCCTAAAACAGTGCTGCATTGGCAAAAGCTGCTAAGGTTGCAATAGAATTCTTAGAATTCTGAAGAGAGCAAAATTCAACTTACAGTATGCCCAGTTGTGTTACAGGTACCAACAATGTAGTAAAAAAGAAATATTTTCTCAGTCAATAATCACTTCTTTTAAGCATCTTTTATATTTAACCAATTCCATACAAGATCTCATATAATTATGAATGCTTCAAGAAATTCTTTTTTTAAAATTCCTTATAAGCCTGAGATTTTAGCTTATTTAGCGACTCAATAGGATGGGATAGAGGCTGGCTGACAAGTGAGAGCCAGCTAGCCCATCACACCAGTGTGATCCTCAGAGTCTCTAGCTGCAGGTCTGAAAGGGGCCTTTGTAAGGATGTAAGGAAATTCTTACTGCTGTTTTGGTTGTGTAATCTCAATAACTTGCATAATTGATCTAATATGTGTTTGTGGACAATAACTTCTGTAAGACCTTGTCCGTTGTCTAGACAATGGAAAAGTTGATTGCAGTATCTCCACTACCTTCTAAGGTCCAGAATGTTGCTAAAATAGAAGAGCAAAATAGGCTCTGAAAACCTTTTCATTCTAATACTGTGTTACAAAAATATTTTTAAAACAATATACTCATGAAGGAGCCAATGTTTTAACAATCTTATTCATTGAAAATAAGAGGTAGTTGTGAGAGAATACCGCTCTAGACTTAAAAGTCCCAAAATCTAGATTGTAGTTCTGCTGGGCCATTTAACACTTGGGCAAATTATTCAAAATATCTCAGTGGCTGTCATCTGTAAAATGGAGATGATTCCAACCATACTTTTTTCGTGAAATACTTATCATATTTTGTTAACAAAGTTTTCTTAAAATACACTTCTCTATAAACTAGATAGCTAAGGATAGAGGTATGTATATAGATGTGTGTATGCGGAGATGACATGCACATATTTTTCAAAGATGAAATATGTGTAAACTTCTTATCTGAGAAAATGAAGTGGGGAGGCACTGCATATTTAATGGAGAAAAAAGCTCCAGAAAGTGTCAAAAGAAGAAAACTGTGGAAGATAAAAATAAGCCAATTTAATAATTACATTGGTTGAAACACTTTAGCTACCTAAACAGAAAACAAGGCTTAATTTTGTTAACCTGGAATTCAATTGTGCGTGATTATTGTAAAAAATAATTATGTATTTTTGAATTTAATGAGGAACACATATCCAAGCAAAAAACAACAAAATGAGTTCATTTCAGTAAATATTTTACCCCTCTTAAGTTAATAGGGCTGAAAATTTCACCAAGAAACAAAATTTTAAGTATTAAGAGGCTGAGTTATTATGATTTTTTAATACTATATTTCAATTTAAAATAGTATTGATTCATCCTCTGCTTTAAACCATAATTAAGTCAGTTCACTTCCACGTTTTCTCACTTCTTTATGTTATCATTTGATTCATTGCCTGGATTACATCTTAAATCCTCCTCCCTCGTCTTCCTTCCTTCCTCCTGACCCATCTCCTTTCTTTCTCTCTCTGTCTCTCTCACTTCTTTTCTCTACTTTATTTCTCGCCTTCTCTCACTCTTGCGTATATCCTCTGCCATAGTCCCCTAAATAGTCCAGAATAATTGCTTTTCTTTTATACATTAATGCACTCTTTCAGAGGGCGTATTTGTTTTCTCTTGGATCCTTTAAGAATGACTTCTATATCCCTGAAGTATAATAATAAACGGGACATACCCAGGTATCAATTATCAATATTTCTGGGGAAAAATAGCATGTTCTTTTTCTCCACAGATTTATTCCATTATTATTTTGGAGAAATATCTTTATATTTTTAAATAGATATTACTTTCTATTCTCTTGAATTTATATTTTTTTCTGAGAAACCAGTTATACACATATTGTATCATATTTTTCACTATTCTCTAACTGCCCTTCTGTTTTTCTCTATATATCTTAATCGTTTCTTTCCTCTATGTCAGTAATATTCATTTTTCTCTTATCTAAATCTGCTCCATGTTGACTTATTAGTGTCTTTAGCTCCGTAATTCCCATTCTCACCTCATCTGTTATTTAGTCATCTCACTTTGTAACTATGTCTTCTACATCCCTCCACTTCTTCCTCTTCTCCTTTCTGTTCTTAAGTTATGGGTTTGTGCCACATTATTGAATAAATATCTTTTTCTGAAGCAGGATTAATTTTTAGTCTTTTAATAAAACCAAAGAACCATACATTTCAGGCCACCAAAAGACAAGGAGACTGGACAAAGTATTTTCTATTGCCATTTACTCTTTATGACAAAATATTATCACATGTCCTCTCTGGTTATGTGGGGGGTTTTGTTTGTTTTTTGTTTACTGTTTTGTTGTTGTTGTTGTTGGTTGTTCACAGTCTCAAGCAGCTCTAGTGCTGCTGTAGACACATAAGGTTTTTTCACCATGCACATATCTGCTTCAAAAAACAAAGGCATTTTAAAATTATAAAAGGGCAGACCTGGTGATCGGGATAAGGCAGCATTAATGTAACTGGCTTCTCTGAAACAGCGTCCATAAGCACCTCCTTCTCTTCCTTTCGTAGCATAAAGCAAGCTGGCACAAGCTTTGAACAGAGAGTAACTCATCAACTTTACACTTACCACCCTGTGAAGCATGTGGAGTTAAAATTCCAAGAAAGAAACAAGCAGTGTGAGGACTTGAGACGTTTCATTAGCAAGTGTTTCATTCCACCTTCCTCCACAAGTGAGAAGGTGGGAAACAAAAACAAATTTCCCACGTGTGGTATGTTTTAGTTTTAGGCCTATAAAGGAATATGACCTATGAAAGTGAATTTCTTCTAGAAAAATATGTATCCTGCTTTTTAATTGCATCATGCTAATTAGTGCGATCAATTCTGCCAGGACTTCTACTGGCTGCAAATAGTGTGAATGAATTTTCCTCGCCTCTCTCCCCTTCCAGGATAGAGTCCTCTTTTTCCCTCCCGGCCAGTTATGGTTTGAGAGATGGTGCAGTAGTTCTGTCTACTTTTTTTTGGCAATGAAAAAAAAAAGATAGTTGCCTTATAGATTTGCCACCCTAGTTGTCTTGGTTTTGCTCCCTCTGCTGATTGGATTAAATGTTTATTGCCAGTGTTCATTCCTCCAAGCTGAAAGGTGTCCTGTTCCTATGAGCGGATACTCTGAGCTTTGTGTCCTGCTGAGAGCTCCCATAATCTCCATGATTAAAACAGCCCTGGTTGTTTTCCTGACGCTCCTGAGACCCTTGGGTCTTCACAGGGATAAGCTGAGGCTGCTACTCTGAAAGGTTTACTTTAACTTTTTCCTAGGGCTGGTTATTCCCATGATTCACCTACTTCTCTATGAAGGGAGCTTTGTCAGCATATAGATGGATTATTCATATAGATGGATTCATTTTCCACATGTCAGCATATAGATGGATTCAAAAATCTAAATGAATTTATCCAAAGTTTATTAATCCAGAAAAAATACATCGGACAACAACATCCCCCAAATGTGACAAATCAAAATGAATGATTTAATAACTACAGTCTAATATTTTTACAACTTTACAAATAGTACTTTTATTTCCTTTCAAAAAATTCCTCAACTATACTCTAGCATAGTGGTTCTCACAATGTGTTCACAGATCCCTGCAGATCCCCCCCGGGCTGTTTGAGTCTGCAAGGTTAAAATTAATTTCAAGATGTACTAAAATACTATTTACCTCTTTCAGTGTACAGCCATTTACATTGATGGTGCAAAGTAATGGGGGATAAAATTGCCAGCGACTTAGCATAAGGCAGCAGCAACGAACAGGGCTGGTCGTCACTCTGTTCATTACTAGCAGGCACATACAGAAGAGAAAATGCTGGTTATACTGAAGAGCATCCTCCTATCGGTTCCATTGTTTAGAAATCTAGTCCCTTCAGTACATATCTTTCTAATATTCTGACTGATAATTAAGAAATATACATAAAGCATATCTGCCACATGCCAAAATATAATAGTTGACTCGAGGACATGTATTCATGTAATTTTTGAATTGCAAACTGAATAAGCCTTCATTTTATTAAATAATATTTTTGCCATAAAGAATAATGGGAAGACAATCTCTGCTTATTTTGTAATTGTTTCAACATGAAAGGAAAAGCAAGTCTCCAAAGTACTCGATAGTGACATGAAACCAGGAGATGAACAAATGCACAGCCTCAGAAGGGAAAAACAGAATTGAAGTCCAGTGTGTGGGAGGGGAGACTGGTGTGCTCTCATCTGGCAGGCGCAGCGTGAGGGGACATGGCACACCTCCTGGGGGACGGGCACAGAGGCAACGTGGACTTCACCTAACACATGCAAGCAATGTAACCTGATCATCTGTATCCCCACTTTAATCTGAAATTCAAAAAAATGTTTTGAAAAGACTTGTAATGTATCAGCGTCTCCATGAGACTGTGCACTCCTTAAATGCTTGAACTGTATTTTACTCATCTGTGTATCCAGAGGATGAAGTAAGGTGTTTACTTTTTCATAAACACTTCACAAGTGAATGTGTAGATGAATGATCGAACTAAGCATTTAATAAATGCTATTACATATTTCTTAACTTTCTAATTAAACTCTTCCAGCTAAAACTCAGGTAATGGGAGAAATCAAGATTGCCCTGAAGAAGGAAATGAAGACGGATGGTGAACAACTAATAGTTGAAATTCTCCAATGCAGAAATATCACGTACAAATTTAAGTCTCCTGATCATTTACCAGGTATCTTATTTTGTAAGGATCAATATAATCTAGGATTTTTCTACATAAAAATGTGTCTTAAATATTTTGGAAAAATACTAATTAAAAATTTAACGATACACCAAATATATCAGAAAAATGAGAAAACAGAAAAAAATGGTAGAAGTTCTAATATTTTCTAGTTTTAGGTAGATATTTTTCAACTCATAAGTTACAGTAATTACTAGAAAAAACATAAATTTAAATTGCTAATAAAACTGGCATATCTTGTAATCACTTTATGTTGTCTGATCCAAATTATACACAATCTGCTGGGTAGGAAGAACTCTCAATATGCAGTTATGATTCTTTCCATGGAAATTTGTATGTTGATAAACACAGTGGGCTGAATTCTCATTTTCAGATTTATATGTGAAAATATACGTGATGAACATCTCTACTCAGAAAAAGGTGATCAAGAAAAAAACAAGAGTCTGCAGACACGATCGGGAGCCTTCTTTCAATGAAACCTTTAGATTCAGCCTGAGTCCTGCAGGCCACTCTCTTCAGGTAACTCTGTATTATATAGCGGCTGATTTATCATTGGTATACATATTGTATTTATTTGTTTTCCATTCAATTATACAATAGTTATATACTATTCATACTATATGACCTTTGAGAAGTTATTTAAGCCTTGGTGGCATCTTCTTCCTCAGGAGTTGTTTGGAATTCTACAGCCCACTCACCCTATCCAATCAGCTGCAAATCTTTACCACCTGCTGAGTTTATTTTACATAGATTTTTCTCGTTTTCATGCTCACCACCACTAATCCTGTTTGGGCCCCCAATTTTGTTATTCAAATCATTTTGTCAGTTTACCTGGCCTATCTGTCATTATTATCTCATCCCTTTAATTCATTCATCACAGAACTGCCAGTTATCTTTTTAAAACCCTGGTTAGTATGAAGCCTTTTAATGACTCACCATCATCTCAAATCCTTCAAGACTCCTCCAAGTTGAGTTTTAATTATACTGACTTAGTCTCAGGTCCTTGATACTTTTCCACTCACTCAATGTTCCACTCACACCAGAATCATTTCAAATCAGGCGAAGCCTCTAATCCTTTGTATTTTTCCGCCCTTTCGAAGCTCCCTGTCCATCTCTCTCCATCCTTCACAATACTCTCATCTGTCAGGGCCTCTACTGATGATCCTGGGTGCAATTCATCAAACCTTATTCACAAAGCATTTTGCTTATTTTATTAGGGTGTTAATCCCAGTCTGTTTTGTACAATTATTTATATACTTACCTGTCACTGCTTCTATGCTATCAGTTTCTCTAGGATGAGGCTGTATTTTCATTGATCTTCTTCCTACATCCTAACATGATGCTTTGCATATAGTACGTCCTCAGGAGAAAAATGATTGAAGAGTATAGTAACAGAGGGATCAAAATGTAAAGGTTTTCACTAGAGATAAATGCAAGAGAGATTACAAAAAAAAAATCAAAAACAAAAAAAAAAACCAAAACATGCATTGAGAGGATTAGATCTATTAGAGAGGAAAGGAATACAAATTAAAAGAGACTCTGTCTCAACTACTGTGTCAATCACAGAGATTAATTTAGTAGTCAGAGAGGGAAGCTGAGAATGAGCACGGAAAACATCACGAGTTTGAAGAGAATTTGGTAAGAAGGCAGAGACCTAAATTAAAATATACGGTGTCACTTGAAATTTCAATCCCAGAAACCAGGAGAGATAGTCCATCTAAAAATATAGGTTTTGAAGTCAGAAACATAAAATTAAAATCTCAACCAGGAATAAGGATGGATTATCTGGAGAAAGGAAGGAAAAACAGAAAGGAAGAAAGGAGGGGGGGAAAAAAGGAAGAAAGGAGAGAGAAAAAACAAAGAAAGAATTGTCAAGGATTAATATTTAGCTCGGCCAAATGCCCTCAATCTTTCTTTCAACTCATCTCTAAAAGAAAAAAAAAAAGCCATTAGTTTGAGATTCTGTGGGATAAGATAGATTCTCCTATGACTTAAGAAACTACTTTGGAAGTGTATACTGTGATAAAAATCACCAGTAAATTAAATATGAAATAAAATCAATGACTTGTGAACTTCTATTATTTCAGCATTCAAATAACTTTTTACTTGCAGGCTTAGTATTTCATAAACTAGTAAGAAAATGTATTTAGCAATTTTTTTGTGTGTGAAACTTTCCATCAGTTTAAGCATAAACTTGGTTAGAATTACCTGGTTATTTAGTATTTATTTAGTATTCTCATATCTTTTAGGATATGCCTTTTCCTTGGGGGAATAATAGAAATGATGGTGTAAATCCATGTATATCAAGCAACTCTTCTGAGGGAGGGCATCTTGGTTATTAGTTCTCTTACAACTCTGCCCACTACTTCAGCTCAGCTCAGCCACATTCTCTCCTGTCTGTGCTATTTCTTTGATGAATAAATGCCTTAAAAGAGGTTGAAAAAATGCACACATATATGTATATATTAAGTGTACATAATGTTGGCTATTTGTTTCCAGATTTTGCTTTTCTCCAATGGAGGGAAGTTTATGAAAAAGACCTTGATTGGTGAAGCCTGCATCTGGCTTGATAAAGTGGATCTCAGAAAAAGAATAGTCAACTGGCACAAACTTTTGGTCAGTCCTACTCAAACGCACTGAAGGAATGTGTCTGCTCAGGGTATAGAAACTGCTCTAAATAACTGCAAAGCCAGTCTTATGGTTGGATACGATTGTACTAAGCTACATTTCCAGAGGCAAATGTGAGAGGGGACCAAGTGCTGAAAGCAAACTTAAAGCCTTGTAAATTTACTGTTACAGAACACACACACATACAAAAGACTCAAATGAAAACGCTCACATGTTGAAGGCAAACAATTAAAAAATGGAGCTCTGAGACCTTTACTTTCTCTTGGCTGGCAAGAGACACAGAGAGATTTTAATTGCTTAAAGTAAAATTCTTTGAGCAGCATTGAGCTGTAGCTTAAAAATAAGGCTCAAAGATTAATAAGGTTTCCAGTGCAACACAAAGGTAATCCTTTATGCAAAGAAATCTTGGTTGAAAGGAAGAAATGATAGAACCGATCTTATTTTTCAAAAATTAAAAAAATCTTTCTTGTTCATCTTCTCTCCTTGGACGGCATACTGTTTTGAGCTTCTGACAGAGGCTACGCCTGCAATGTATGTCAAGGACTAGGAGTGAGGTAGCTGTGTTCGTAGGGAAAATGGGACAGGAGATGAAGAAATTGTGGTTATGGATCATATTGTATAAGTTTTTTCTGTGTCTGAATGTTCCAAGGGTGTATGACACCAATTTTGGAATCCGTATGGTATAAGCACAATTGTTTCAGTAAAATTCGAAATAATATAGAATAAAGGAAATAACTAGGTAGAAATAAAATTATATTTATCTAGAAATAAAACCATGAATGGCTAACAAAGAAGAATGTTGTCCTACAAAATATTGGGATTTTGAATAAAAACTTAAAAATCTCCATAACTTAACACTAAGTCAAATTATTTTCAATCTATGTACCACAGGACCTAGATTGAATTGGCGGGTTCTAGGAAGCATGATAACTTATTTTTTGTGGAATTGCAAATAAATGTACTATCCTGAATATTTCTTTCCTCTTGAGTGATGTATTGACAGAGAAAGAAAATTCTTCCTCTGGCAAATAAACCACATTCACTTTGAGATATTGATTAATTCAATTAGTGTCATTTCTTCTTTTCCATAATGTTGGTACCTTTTTTCCCCTTAATGAGTCAATTCATTAAATGATTGTATAATGAAAAACTTACACGAAACTCAAGCTCTCTTTAGCTCTCTGTTTTCCTCCTTAGTGACAGTATCACAGTGATCAAGTTCATCAATGTGGGGAAAATGTATGAAAAGTCAACATTTAAAATTAAAATATACTTTGAGTTGTTTCAATAATATAGAATAAAGCAGCCAATGTCTTAAGACTAATTTTAAGTCTTAAAATAAAGCATGCTCTTCTCCATCATCAACTTTGAGAAGAGAAGGAACATGGCGTTGTGGAAAACACCCTAGGCTGGGATTAAAAGCCTGGCTTCTGGCCTTGGTTCTGCTGCTGAATACGTCACCTTGCGATGTCACTGAAACCCACTTTCCCCAAGTTTTCTTACCTGTAGGATGAAAATAATTACACTGTATATTCTTCACCCTAAAAATGGGATGTTGGAATGATCAAATCAAGTAATGAGTGAAAGATGAAAGCACATTTCCAAATATTGCTTTACACCTGGAAGGGAATAATAATCATTGTGTAACATTTTAATTCTCAACTTTTATATGTGAAAAACATTCTCTAAACCAATGGCAAGCATTGGTATGGGTAAAAGCATTGAATTAGCTCTGAAACTCATTTTTTTTTGTTTAAAATAGAAGGTTTTATTTAATCTGAAAAAGGATGAATTAAGTGAAGATGATTTACAGATTTTGGTATCCTAAATTAAATGAATTATGCTAACCTTATCTCATCCTGAATCCTATCCAAAATAAACAAATCAAATTTCTTCTAAAAGCATTCTGAGTTTAAAAGCTACTGCTTTATTCAAGAATGACGTGTTAGTGGGGCTAGAGGAAGCTATCTCCAAAATATTGCTCAAATGTTAAATTCTCTCATTTTCAAAAGAAACAATACTTGAAATTGGAGAGGACTGTAAAACACTCCAGATAAAATAATTTATATTTCTAACATATCCCAGGCTATATATGTTTATTTCATAAAGAAATACAAACTCACTCTTCCCCAAAGTAAGAAGGATAACCATTACTTCTCTCCCTCCGTTTTTTATCCCCTTCCCCTAACAATGCAGTGTCCTTTGCCATTGATACTGCTCTGAAATAAGCATGGGGGAGGGGAATCCTCAAAGATAAGATATTGCTAGGATTTTATTTTTAGACTCTACTAGATCTGCTGATGGTTGCCATGGATATTTCCAGCAGAAGCTAGCCCTTGAAGAAGCCTATAATCATAACTCATAATTGGGGAAGAAAAGGCTCTAGTATCTTCTGACATAAAAAGGCTTTGCTATTTACCCTTAGAAGTAAACCCTGGCTCATCTTTAGTTGTCCAGAAGTATGCACCAGATGTTGAATGAACAGTTAGCTTACTTCATTCCAAATTCAATTTCTTTTAGGATACTATAAATGGAGGAACCACTAAAACAAAGATCATCTCTTGGTAGCTATTTAACCTGAAAGAATAGAAATCTTTCCATTATAGGTGCCCCTCAATTCCAAGGAAATAGTGATGGGGCGCGGTCAATCAAGAGAGTTAATGACAGGGCTTTTTTTTGTGCACCAGCATTCCCCTTCAGAGAGCAGAAGAGCCTGCCAGTGTGCCAAGTTCACAGCTGACCAAACTCCTAGGTTGTACTGGAATTATTCTATGCAACACTGATCCTTAAATGAATGCATTTCTTCTGAATGATGTTGATTACCCTCCTTACAACAAAACTATTTCTTTTTTAATTGCAAATAGGGCTCTTGGTGTTTTTTACTTTTTTGTATAAATCACAGGACATGGTTTTCCACTTTTTATTTTATTTTATTTTACTGGAATTAGTTTTTTAATCCTAATAATGACAGAGTTTGTAATCTCTAGGTAATATATGATTATCCAATTACTTCATTAATACCTTGAAAATTATTGCAATTTTTCACCCAATCTTACTGAGTCATCAGAGACTGAAGTTGGTTTTGGTTTAAAATTTGGTCCTGAAGAAATTTTCAGCTGTAGAAGCAAAAGCACAGAATGAATTTTTACAAATGACAGGGAATTATAGGCTAGCCGTGACAGATGCAGGTAATGCTAGGAGCAAAAAGTTGTTTTTCCTGTTTCTAGTTAAGACTGAGGAGATTTTAGATGACTCTGAGCTCGTTAGGTACTTATTTCAGTTTAAAAAAAAATATCAAAGACTAAGGGGTAGCCATTTTCTTTACTCCTTAATATTGCCCATATTTTAATAAATTATACTAATTAAATGCATATTTTCAGCGTATCAGTAGAATTAATTTTGTGGATCACACACATTAAAATAGTCATATCGTGGGAATATTATAGCTGGTAACCAGCTGATATTGATTCTTATTATAGGAATGGTTGTAACGATAGTGGTGATAGAGGTAGTGATACTAGCCGTGATGTTGATGCGAAGTAAAATAAAATTATATATTATATCGTGCCCAATTTAGTAGAAATTATCTGATCAATGCTTCATTTCATTAAGATATCATAAAGATGTTTATAGTATTTTTTTACTTTATTATTTAAATCATAACTAATGATATTTTTAAAAACTTATTTTCATTGCTACAATAATCTAATATTCCAAGATCAGCCAACTACCGCTATATATGTGTTTATAACTCTATGTGTGACCGAAGTGATTTTCCCTCTTTTCAAGCTTGAAATGAAAAGTGCAAGAAAGCTCAGTGAGTAATTTAAAGCTGTTTCTTTAATAAGTACTTGCCTTCAGTGTAACACAATAATGAATGAGTGAAACAGATATTCTCATTGAATATGATACAATGATGTTTTCTGTGTTTCATGTTGTTATTATTCAAGGTATTCATTAAGCAGAAATTATTTAATCAAATTCTTTATGTAACAGCTAGATTGAGAGGGTTTCCTTAATTTGTTACCCTGTACATAACTATACATTTGGTAAGATAGACAAGGTTGAATTGTTAATTTCCTTTGGCATTCAGCATGTGAATATGATTATTGTTTGATTGTGTCTGTACATTTGTTCAGTGATGTGCTCAGGTGCTCCCACTACTGATTAATGTGTGTGCTAATATCCTAACGACAACACATATGATGTTAAAGAAAAAAAAATCTTATTTAAAAAAATTTAGAAACTAATACATTTGATTTTAAAATAAAAAATAAAGTACTTGGAGATATGTCTTGTTTCTGACTATATGTTGCATGCCATGGTGGTGATTTGCTGATGTGTTCTTTTTTTGTTGTTTTACCCAAATTCCTCTGGAAAGTCTAATGAACAAATGCAAATTCTTGGGCTAAGGGTTGTACAAATTAACCTGAAAATACATGAAAACTGTATTAAAGAATGCTTGTAAATCTGTCTTGAGTTTTACTCTATGTAAAAACATGTCTTGGTTTGTGATTGTATACAAGATGTATCTTGATAAATTATGTAAATTGTGCTGTATAAAGGCTGTAGCCTCAGCCTTACTAATAAATACTGAAAATATCAACTTTGACTTCTTGTGTTTATCAACTTGATAAATTGATATTTGACATAGAAAGGAAGACTTTAGAACATTTTCTCTGAAAATGATGTTTATGCAATTGCCCAGTTTAAAAAATGTATTTTAAACATAACACAGATATAGGAAATGGAATTAAATGTGTAGCTTAATAAATTCTTGTATGTCAGACACTCTTAGAACCACAACCTGAACTTTACCAGCCATCTCGTGAGTCTTCCATTTGACCTATCCCTATTACAGCTCCTTCCTGCTCTCCTAAGTGTAACCACTATCCCGATTTTGATGATAATTTTTTCTTAGTTTATCACTCACATCTGACCATTAAACAGTAGTAGTCCTATTAACTCCTAACAGGACACTAAACACATGTCCTGTTTTATTTTTAATATTTTTTCTAAACTTCATTTAATACATGTATTCTCCTCCTCCTGTCTTCTTTTTCTGAAGAAATCTGCTCTTTCCATGTCTAGGGTTACTAACAATCTGAATTTTGCTGATTGCATACAATAGCTTAGTTAACAAGTTCCTGTGCCTCAGTAGTCCCCATAAATTGGTATTTTGCTC